CTGTAAGTGTGAATACATGATCCGATGGTGTGCCACCATTATTGCTGTAAGTGTGAATACATGATCTGATGGTGTGCCACCATGATTGCTGTAAATGTGAATACATACTCTGATGCTGTGCCACCATGATTGCTGTAAATGTGAATACATGATCTGATGGTGTGCCACCATGATTGCTGTAAATGTGAATACATGATCTGATGCTGTGCCACCATGATTGCTGTAAATGTGAATACATACTCTGATGGTGTGCCACCATGATTGCTGTAAATGTGAATACATACTCTGATGGTGTGCCACCATGATTGCTGTAAATGTGAATACATACTCTGATGGTGTGCCACCATGATTGCTGTAAATGTGAATACATACTCTGACGGTGTTGCACCATCATTGCTGTGTCTGAATGTCATATATATACTGGTATATTCAAATCACAATCACATTGGTATACATGTATGTTATTTGTACAAGTGTGCAACTTGTAATGATGTATCTTTTTTTCTATCTCTAGTTTAATACTACAGTCAATTCTCTAGCAAGGTGTCCACATTGCAGACGAGTGTGAGTATTTTTATAATGAATTATTGACAGCAAACTGGTTTATTGAGTGATATAACTTAATTTGTTCAAAACATTTAATACCCAAAATAAAATCTGTTAAAGTGGAATGGAATCAGTTGACAAAAACTAATGTACCAATATTGCAGTAAAATGTGTGATATGAAATTAAAACGGATTCTAATTACCGGTAACTTATAATTTGTTTTTCCAAAATAAATTCACAAATCTGGTCAACAATTTTACTGCATTCATATTTAAAACTTACAATACATTTCATTCTCTTACAGTTCATCTATTGGACCTAAATTTGCAAAGAATCGTTGTATCATATTTGCTGTTATCGGTATTGTGTTCATTGTTGCTGGAATAGGTGTCACAGTGAGTACATACAATCTGAATATTAGTAATGTATGACATGTGACCTGAAGCTCAGTATTACTTGTGACCTGAATGACTTTGAGGTGTGTGTGGTAGCATGAAGCAAGAATTGCTACACTAAGAGAATGTATATGCAAAGTGCATTCCAGACATGCATGCTATATCATGGTCATTATTTATCCTATTACAGATTGGTACATATGAATTAGCAGAAGAATCTGGCGGCATCTACTTTGTGTGGATTGGTGAGTATTGCCACTAATACATGTGAATATTGTTTTTATTTTTATAAAATTAGTATCATTGTAAACTTATCAAAGATAAGAGGCAAGATTATATTATCTGTATTTGTGAACAACAAACAATAAAAATTAGCTATTGTGTTTTGCGTACATTAATATTTAATAGTTTCATTTTGTTGTTGTTTGGATAAGAATAAAGTCAGAACTATCTGTAACACCAATTTTTTTTTAAATCAAGCCTTTCTTAACCTTGCCTGTATCGTCAAAGATGGAAGGGAAGTAATATTAAGGGGAAAAATGTCTGTTGCCGCTGTCATTGTCGTCGTCATTAATAATTGTTATTGTGTGCACAATAACTTTACTAATTCTGTTCCAATTTTTTTCAAACTTGGTCACCTAATTCATCAGTATAAAATCTTCCTTTAGTATGAAGGACAGATGTCCTGTGTGAAAATATCATAAATTGAGAAAATCTGGTAAAATATTTTGACTGTTAATGACTGATCACTGGTGATACACATTCAAAGGTCACTGATCCCAGTAGGAATATACATTGTTGTATGTGTTCAATTAAGCAAATTATTTATCTTGTAATGATATCATTGGTAATTGTATCTCCCAAATCCCATGGGAATACTAGACTGGGTTTCAATGCCAACTCATGGAGAGACTTGATGCACAGTCTGATAGACATTTGCAAACCTACCAATAAAATCTTTACCAAAAACAAGATGTCAGATAATCGATATAAGCACTCCTATGAATTGGGTGCCAAACTGTTGATCAAGATGTGAAGCCAATAGAAAATCTGATTAGTCCAAAGTTATCAAAACAAAAACAATGCAAAAATACATAAAAATCAAAACAGTGCATCCACATTTTGAAAGAAAAATTGTACTCAAAAAATATATATTCTGTATTTGACAAACAGTTCATTTGACAAAACATTTTTTTGTTGAAGTATATAAATTTTGAAAATCAAAATTCACAGGATATTGTTTCAGTTGTTAGAACAGAATTATAGAGCTTTTATAATATTAATTTAAAAACACACTTCAAAAACAAAGATTGCTGTATTTGAAGATTATTTATGAGGCAACAGTGGAATACTGTGGACTATTCTCTTCACTGGACACCAACCAACTATTTGCATTCTTTGGCAATTCAACATCTGTCCATTGTCATATACTATGTCAACTCTGATTACCTGTATGCTTTACATGCATTCCAATCACTATAACTATTTGAGTTGATTTGTATACAAAGCAGAGCTTGCAACATGATTATTATTCCTAGAGTGCGTTTTTTTTTTACTTTTCAAATAATACAGTAGTCACACAATGGATATAATAAGGCGGTTCATATTTGTCTCAGTAAATCATTAATTTTTGACAGACACCTGTACAAAATACTTGGACAAAAGCCAGCTGAGATTTTCTGTTATCTTACATGTTTTATGAATCTATTCTAAATGCAGCACTTTTTTTGTGTGATTTTTCTGCATTTGTTTTTATACTAAAATATCTGAATTACTTTGAATAAAGCTGGAAATTATGTTTTTGTAAGATATTTACATCAATCAAGGAAATTCGGTAGACTGCTTTTCCACTGCCATTTCAATTCTAAAACTTGTTTTAATTCAAAATTAATTATTCATATTGAAACAAACTATGATAAAGGAAATAATATTATACAACAAAGGGCAAGGTCACCAGAGTTCAACTGTTCAATTTCAATTTCCTAAAACATTTTACTCAATATCTAATGCTAAACCTAATTAGAAAACTTTAGAAAAATACATAATAATTCACAAAATGTTACCACATTCAAAAAGTTCAACTCTTCATGGAATTCAACAAAAAAATAAATCTTGATACACAAAGCTGTGCATTTATTAGGTTCTATTGACTTGTTTTTCTTGTCATTTTTGTAGGTGCATTTATTATCGGTATTCTTAACCTGGTCAGGAGCTGCTACTACGGAACCATGAGAGTCAGTCAAATTGAAGGACCAGCCTGAACAAATCATAGCCCAAGTGGTGACAGCAATTCAGATATTATTATAATGTATATATGCCCTCCTGATTTGTGGTTACCATCGTGTATAAATTGTTGACATTTCTATCCATACATTGTTGAACGGTGTTGGAATGACCAAGCTCTTAAAATCACTGCTAAATCAATGCATCATTTCAGTATGCATTCTTCATGATCTAATATGCATGCTACATGCATCTGATTATGCTAATATTTTTTTCCATATCATCTGCATATGAATATAAATTACATACACTACTCCAGAAAAAACTTTGATTTATTCAGTGTGTTAACTCTCAGTCTAATCATGCCTTCATAAAATAATCAGTGTTTTGTTTGACACATGATGTGTATTTTTCTTGCCAATGCAGTGGCACGTGCAGTTCAACCACCAAGAATAGTGCACATAATAAATGTCTGTACAAATGTCATGTATTTCAATATACCGGTATCTGGAAGTACTGGTCAAAGTTTATGTTTTAACCTGTCTGGAAGTACAGTTTTATGTGGAACAAGAAATACTTACAATTAAAAAAAAAGTGAGAAAAAATATAGTTCACCTTCTTGTCCATTGCAAAGAACATATTGCATTGCTTTCTTCACCCTTGCCATTTGTTTTGGATTCATTAATAAGACACTATTGCATGATGGTATCTGTCACATAAACTGTGTGTTTACTCATTTACATGGTGGTCAATTCATTGACACAATTTAGTGTGATTATGTATTCAAAAACATTAACCAATCAGATATCGGTGCTCTGTCACATAGAACTTAAGTATTTGGTGACCAATCAGATTGCTGTATCTCTGTTACATGCCTCTCTTTGTATTTATTGTAATATATTTTATGAAATTTTGAAGAAACTACTATGAACTAGTTAGTGAAAGTCTTCTTACTTGCAACTATAGCCAAGTACCTTATCTAAGTATAACATTCATAATCGTCTGCATAAAATAAATAAATATCAAAACACTTACAGTTTGTTATCCCAATTACTTTCAACCTCAACAGACTATCAGAATTCTCCATGGTGACAATAGCATAGCATAGCATGGCATAGCATAGCATGGCATAGCATGGCATAGCATAGCATAGCATGGCATGGCATAGCATGGCATAGCATAGCATAGCATAGCATAGCATAGCATAGCATGGCATGCTTGCATCCAAAAAATTGTGCTTAAAAGCCCATTATGTGGACACCGGGACTTTATTGAAGGGATACATTGTTGATTGTTAAACAGTCTTGTTTATTATGTTTTAACTACAGAGAAGTGTATTTGTCATTATCAGCTTTCACATTCCCACTATGCATCAGTTTATCACCCTTGTGTATTTTGCTGTTTAAAGAGCCATATGTTATTGTGTAGCGATGGACATGACTATAAAACAGTATATAATGGTTATTACTCAGTTTGCTGCAACTTATTTGGTAAAATAGTAATACTCTGTGCAAAGATCCTTTATGGTATGTTGGGATACATGCTTTCAATCAAGTTAATCAGAATGCTTGTTCTTACAAATCTTGTTGGGAAAATTAAAAACAAATAATGCGCTAGGAGAGATCCCATTGATTGGCCAGAGTGAGGCTGGCAAATAAAACTTGTTTGGTAGCCAGAGTGAGACTGAAAAGAAATAAATCTTATCGATCAGCTAGCTGGAGTGAAGCTGGCATTGTGCAATCTTGTTGGTTACTGGCCAGCCAAAGTGAAGCTGGCATTGAGAAATTGTATTAATAAAATATGACAAATGTGTGAAAAATTGGGGAGGGGGGGGGGGTAATTGAACTTATAGCCGCTATTTGAGGTTGAAATGCTATTTATATTTAAGCTGGACATTGTCAATGAAATAATATTGATTCATTGTATAATTTTATATTCAGTAGTTGCATTGTTTTACTTTAAAACTGTGAAAGCAGAATATATAACTTGCTATCATTTTAAAACTGTGTAGTCTTTGTTATTGGTGCACCTGTACATACATATATTAATACACTTATCTATGCACTCAACAGTTAATGTTTTAACAAGTTTTATTGCCTTGTCCAGTTTGGAAGAAGTGCTAAAAATGTCTTGTCTCTGTTGTAAACTGCATTCTTGTGGTTGCAATAACTCAAAACCTAATCTTGAAACATTAACCGTTCAAAATCACCTACATATACTAGTACTTTGGTTAAACATGGAAATAAATGTAAAGCCATAGAAGATATTACTGAGAAGTTACAATTACTCTTCAAGATGTTTTACTTAAATATTGCAATAAATTATTTTGAATTTTCCTTGCAAATTTTGTTCCCCACCAAATTGTACTCCCTTGCCTTACATTTTTAGAAATACATGCAACAAAAATACAACCATAGAGGGCGCAATTGGACATTGTGGGATTCATTTTTTTCCCCAAGATTTGACCAATAGTCTGAGCTCCGATTTTACTATTACATAGTATCACAATTATGCCAAATTCGACTTTAATCGGAAGTAACGTATTGACTAGACAATTATTGGATTGAATTATTTCTGAAGTTGATACATTTTTATTTGGAACATACCAAAGAATTAAGCTTATAATTGTTCAACAAATTTTTTTTTACATTTCATACGATACAAACATTTGAGCTTATCTTTAAAAATATTCTAATGTAGGTCTGAATTAGTCAGACCTGCTATCACTAATAATTATTGCATAAAGTTAAGCCATGGATCATACACAACAGTTTTCAGTTGATTCTTAGGCTGCACCAATAATAGAATTGTTTGTTTGTTTAGTTAGTTTCAATGAAAGCAACATAACCTTCCTAGTTCGCAAATTTCTAGTCGAGGACGATAGTAAATCAAAGTATTCTGGTTCGTGGTCACATAAATCGTGCCGGTACCGGTAATACAAAACCGAATTGAGGCATTGACAATTTTTTTTGAAATGTCTAATAAAAATTACGTTCATCCGTAATACTTAGTGTGCCCTTTAAAATGTGGACGATTTGACAGATGTACTATCGGCAAAACAAACCTATTTCATTTATCTTTATAAATTTCATGATTCAAACTGACACGACATGTTTCTATTAACCCATTAAATAACATTAGCATTTTTTTTCAAATCACGTCGTTGCGCGTACGACCCACTTCAAGTTATCCTCAAAATCAACATATCTGCGGGTCCATTCCCGTTATTTGTGGCCCTTTTCTTTCGAGATGAAAAAATCACAAATCTCTGGCCAATATTGGTGTTATAGGTTTGAACCCCTTCCTTGCAATTTTTCCCCAATTTGTTATTATAGTAAACAAGTATATTTTCTTAAATGAAAATTATCATTACCTGGGTAATAAGATATTCAAAACACTGCGACACTATCATCCTTGTGAAGCACAACTTTAAAGAGAAACAACATTCGTAATTTTAACTTTTATCGAGCCGCCACTGTGTTGTAAACATTTGGGATAAAACAATTGGGGTGTTTTATGAATTAGATTTAAAAATCGTTATATAATCGTATAATAATAACATTTTGTCAAAAGTTTATCTTCCATAATGGTATAGTGAAGGTTCTAGTGATTATTTATTACTAGTTAGTAGAGGTATATCGATTAGTTTCAAACTGCATTTGTAACCTTGTCAATTCATAAGGAATATTAGTGTGTTTTATGAATGGATCTATAAATATTGGTATAGACTTAACATGTTTCCTGACAATAATATTCTAAAATGCGCTTTAAATGAAAAAACAACAATTAAATCAAAGTTGATAAAACATATTGAAAATATTATTGGGCACGAAGAACTGGATGAAGCTAAAGAACAGTACAATGTAGACAATATTAGCCAGTTATCAAACATTATAAAAGTGAAATTAAGAGACCAATGCAAACAGTCTTGGACTAGCAGCTAAATTCATCCACCAGTAGTAAAGACAAAACTAAAGGCAATAAACTTAGGACATATAAACAATTTAAAATAAACTATGAACTTGAAAATTACTCAAATGAAATAAAAAACTTTAACTTACGTGGAATGTTATCAAAATTCAGGCTTAGTGATCACATTTTGAAAATTGAACTGGGGAGAAGGAGAAAGAGTCTGTAAAAAAATGTGATCAAGGCGATATTGAGGATGAAACACATTGTATTTTGAGCTGCTCATATTTTGAAAATGAAATAAAAATCTTACTGAAAAACGGCGAAATTACCTCAAGTGAAGAGAACAAAGACGCAATGTTCTTTACAATTATGAAAAACAACATTGCTCTTTCACTATATCTAAAAAATACTACCCGGTATATACAAAGCATCGCCTGTGTAAACCCCTGGGTAGGGAGAACCTTTACTTTGTAGTTATTTTTAGTTGTATTACTTATAGTTGTATTACTGTTGCGTAATAAACTATTATTATTAAGTTTATTGAAACACTTAAAATTCCTCAGAAGGAATTAAAATGGTTACACTAACTGCTAAGACACATATATAAAACATACAAATTTTACAAAAAATACTATATAAAGCACGCCAAGTGTTAAAAAACAAAAAACTGTTGATATAATTATGTAGGTAGGTAATAATATTGAAACAAAAATAAATGAAATAATAAAAAACATAAGTGATATACAATAAATCAATGAAACATGAAACAAGACTGAATGAGAAAAAAGTATTTATGTTAATTTGCCAGAAGATGTTGCTGTCTAAGGTTCGTGTTATTTTTGATAAATTGGGCAACTGATATTTGTACATTCAGGTTTGTATGACAGATTAATTTTAATAATTTGTTGCAGTCACTCATATTCGTGAAGTTTATAATGTGCTTAGTAGTTTCTTCAAATAGTGCTTTTCGCGATTTTTCGTAATAGGGGCCTTTAAATCATGAAATGGTACTCATCTTCTACTTTGTTATTTAAACACAGTTCGCAGATTCTTTTTTTCCTATTTCGGTTTTTGGTTTGGTGTACCTCCCTGTTTCAATTTTTAGTTTATGAACCTACTTAGACATTCACGTAGTTATAATTGTCACTTCAAATTACAAAGGAAATGATAATTGTGTCAAAGGGCTAAAATATTTTTTATATATTATAGGTACTGATAGAGGTACTTTACCTCAGTCTGGTAATTACGCGGTCATGGGTTGTATCGATATTTAAATTACAGTTGGGTTCACTTGAAGTCGGAAAACAAATTATGAATTTGTTTTAAACATCGCCACTTTGACCATAAATGGTCAGTACGAAATCTGATTTTGAATACGTTACATACATTTGTACAGTTTCGCAAACTCGATTTTTTAATTGCCGAATAATCGGGCCTTGACTGACAAGTACTCCTGAGTCTGCTATCGTTGCACAGACCTGTACAATGTAAGTTAAGTAGGTTGCGCCCTCAGTTGACAGCTACAATATTGTGTACCCATTCGGCGGGACACTGACTTGATGAAGAAACGACAACATTTGAAGATCAATCGTGGTAAAAAGACGACGTGTAAGTGACGGATACAAAGTATATGGAGGCTTCTGACTAATAAATTAAATAGTAGTTTCATTTATTCATGTATTACTAGTATGTGCTCACGTCCTCGTCGGTGAAACTTTTGTTAAAGGCCGCCATTAAGTTCAACTTTTCAACTTAAATATTCTCATCTTCCCTCACAGTAGGCATATCTTGTAGTTTTAAATGTGGATTTTAAGTGAGGGCAACATAAACAATTTCGTTCATAAATTTCTAGTCGGGACGATTATGAATCAAAGTCCTCTGGTTCGAGGACACATAAATCGTGCATTCCCGCGACCCTTGGCCTGCTTCGCACAAAACGTGATTCTGCGTGACTTCAAATCGGCGGTAATACAAAACCAAAATGGCGGAGTGTAAGTTTGTAAACTTGATGTGACAGTTTCCTTGGCGAAGTTCATTGTAGGTGTTTGTCGTTGATACAAAATAAGTGCACAAGGTTAGTTGGAATATGGTAAACGAGTAAAAACCACAGTATTTTATTTCCATAATGGGTGTCATTGTGGATAACTAAACAAATCTGAGCGCCGAAAGTAGTTCGCCCGGTCTCTTGCAGCTGGGTCACGGACGTAAGTATAAGATTGTTTACGACCCAGTGTCGGTCTAACTGCCGAGTGACACAATCTTAAAACACACAAGAACACTTATGCGTTACATTTCACTGTTGATATAGTGGAAATAACAGTGTCATGATGATGATGATGAATGGTGGTGGTGGTAATATTGTTTGTTTCGCATTTGTGCGTTTGTTTTCATGAAACTGTAAATACAGAGTTGATCCATTAGACTTTGTTTTGGTTGCTCGGTTGACACCTCGTCATACGTGTCAACATGAGTGAGGAAATAATCAAAGTTGACGTATATCTGCTTAATTTGAAAAATAGTTGTACATGCTGTGTTTTGTTTCTCCAAATATGTGGGGTCTCGCAAGCCTACATGCTTTGAATTGTGCCATTCACCCGATATAATAAAATTACATCGGTGTAGAATAGGGTCGTCTAATGGTGTCGCCATTAGAAAAACCAGTGTAATTACATAACACACATGCAATATTTTAGTTTTGTCCAGTTGTGGTTGAAAAAATGTTTGTGGTAAACAAATATTGATCTTTAGATAGATTCCACCTGTCCTTGAACGTTGCTATGTTCTTGTATTTTGTTATACAGGGTCTTGACGATCTAAGCATGTTGATGAATTGTTGCTGTTTCAGCAGCTCTGATTGGCTCATGCTAGGCTACGTTACGGATATTCGAAGTGTGCATAAATAATATACATGTTATTTTTCCACCACAATGAGTGTTGATTCAAACTCCAACTGATATAATTGAGCGTTTAGTAGTAGCAATAATTCCATTTTAAAAGTGGTCTTTGCCACGTCAGCTGTATTAAATGTACTTTCATGCGTAATCTTGAAGTTGTATCTTTCTAGCTCATTCTGTAATTTTGGAGTCCATTTTGAAACTGATGGTGATTTGGGACACCATATTAATCAGAATTGTAAGTCAGCTTACTTTGCACTTTAGTGCTTTAGTAAAATTCGGACTCTATTGCATAAAGCGGCTACGATGAAGTTAGTCCATCAAGATTAGACTACTGAATATTACCGTACTTCCCCGAGTATAAGCCCAGGGGCCTGAACATGTAAAATCGTGAAAAATAAGGGTTGGGCTTATACTCGAGGAACACCTCAGAAAAAATAAATTTTTGGTGCGTTTAAAACTGTAACCATCTTCCCAACCTCGAAATATTATCCAAATTACATTTTCACAGTGCCGGTCTCGGAAGAATATTATGTCTTTTTGAGGAAAAAAAGCGAAACGAGTCTTCATTGATTTCAATGACACTTTTTACAATGAAGAAACAAACATGTTCATAAAAATAAATTATTACAATACGATTTACAAACCATCTGAATTTATGGTGCGAAAATGGGTAGGGTCTTCAGGAAAACTGTTGAATGCAAGATCGTACGCAAATTCTCGATACAAAGCTATTTCCGCCATGGTTTCATCATAGTTTGACCTGAACAACTTCCTTTGACTTAACAGGTCAAGTCTTTTGTTAACCAATGAAAATGCGGTGTCATACAGTCAAAGTTTTCCAATTATTGACGAAGTGAATTACCGCGATGTTAAAATGCAATCTGTTAACACTGATTTCGACAAAAACAGGGAAATTTTTTCCCTAAAAGGTGTTGATTATCAATTTTGGAAAGGTAAACTGAGGGTGGCCGCCAACAAGTCAAGTCAAAGAATAGTTTGCTCGTTCACATCCCATTCACGATAGTCTCAATGGACAAGATTATTCGGAAAATGAAAACGATGATCAGTGACCAGGTTTCACGACTTGACGATCACATTTTTGCCATTTGGAAAACTACTACTCGAAGGAAATATGGATTATTTCAGTATTGCAACATCTGGATTCATCTCGAGTAAATAACAGAGTAGAAAACGTGCGAACTATGTTCCGTCGTGCACTCTGTAATTAATGCGAGTTTTCTCTTAAAAACTGGAACCTAACTATCGTACCAATCATGATTTTTATGCAATGAAATACACTTTTTACATGCATATTTTAATAAATATCGTTGCTGTCCTCTAGAAAACACCCTGGGCCTATACTCGGGGATGCCCTCAACTCGTTAAATGTCCAAAAGCAGAGGGGTGGGCTTATACTTGGGGAGGGACTTATACTTTGGGAAGTACGGTATATTTTATGGATGCCCTCAATTTCAGTAAGACAAACTCCAATCTGTTCAAAATGCAGCAACCAGACTCATCAATTGTAAAAAAAAATCACATTACATCTACACTTTATGATTTGCATTGGTTACTCATTCGTGAAAGAATAAATTTCAAAAGTACTGTTGACTGTCTATAAATTTTTAAATAATTCTGCTCCAATTTATTTATGTGGCTTGGTTGGCCGATATGAACAGGGTCATAGTGGCCTTGGGTCATCTAACACTGATCTTTTGTTATTGAAAAGACAAGATTGAAAATGTACCACAAAACCATATGGTTGGCGTTCTTTTAGCAATTATGCCCCCCTTTTGTGAAATGAACTTCCACTCTCCATTTGTCAGTTATAATCACATGTATTAATATGTATTTGGTCTGTTTTGGGTGGTAAATGTGTAAACAAGTGTAATTTTAAGTGATATGTCTTGACAGTATGAAATGCTGGCAAATTGTGTGTTTTCAGACCTGCATTTATAGATCTGTAGCTTTTGTAGGTGGTATCATACACGTCACCCGATCGTTGCCCAGAAATGATAAGACCTATAAAAATAAAATACACCTACTACTAATTAACGCAGGGTCTATGTCATGAAGGAAACAAACCTTTTCAACAATATTTAATTCCTTTTCCCACTGTTTACTTGCATGAACCCTAAGCATAAAAGTTTCAGCGAATAACTTGTAATTTCAAGTAAAGACACTTTCGCATTCAAATAAACACTACTGCAATTTTGTCATTCTGATGAGGCTGTTCATTTTCACATATGTACTTACGTCATTGAATGCTGTATTCAAAATGTGGAAACTTGCCTTCTATGTTATCTGAAACGTGTTTGTGTTGTGTTTTTTGTCAATATATTCTCGGAATTACTATATAGGGGTAATACTAACAGAGTTTAATTAATTTGAGATTCATTATGTTTCAAATTCACTGCTTTGTGTATAATTAAGTTCCCTACAGTATTACTCGAAGAATAGTGAGATACATGTAGCAGTATTTTTCGAATACTTTTTTTGTGTGTTTGCTGTAAAGCATTACTACATTGTTTATTTGTGCTCATCACATCTTGGTTGAGATCATTTCTTATTCTGTGCAGGAAAAACTTTCTTGGTTCCTTGCCATCTGTGAAACATCATGAGTCAAGACGTTTTTCAAAGCTCTGACGGAGGAAATGTTAAGTATGCTGACAATGAGAGTATGTGGGGATCCTCTGCCAATCTTGGAACACCGGTTGCCGCATCAACTGCAGCCAGACCAAAGCAGACTTATTTGGACAGGTAAATCTGTCATTCACAATGAATGGGGGTGGAAATGAATGTTTTTTTTATTATTGCATTACTTATGCCATAATATATAGCATGCTATTTTATGGTGGTGTTAGTGATTCTGCTAGTGTACTGGTTTGTCTAATGTAGTATTTCTAAAAATTTACTAATAAAACTCTGGATGAATTAGTAAAATGTTTGTAATTTCTTGTTTTCTGTCCTCAACTATCACATTTACTCATACTCAAATAATCCATCAAGTGCCCAGCATACAATGAGTCTTGCTTGCCTTGGTAGCCAGATTTTATTTATTATTATTGTAAGTGTTCAACAGGACTCTTTGAACTCAATGTAATTCACTTGTCATTCAGAACTTGTGTACATTTAAGAAGTGTGTGCAACTTTTTCTGTGCATTTTCAACATTTGAATACTGTTGCACAGTCGTCTTTACAATTGCTGCGTTCAATGTAGTTTAGTCACGGTTATCGTTGTCAGAAACCCAAAACCAAAGTATCCAACTGTTTCAGTTAGATTACTAACCGTGGAAGTGTTTATATGATAAAAAAAATAGCTGTTAGTTACAACTATCATACGAGTACAGGCACACATCTTTGTGCAGGGTACATGTACATACAATAACTCTCATTATCTCCATTGATGACTTGCTGTTTGAGACCATTGCTATGTAAATATTTTCTATCTTCAATTCAAAATAAAGGCCAAAAGAGACTACTCTTACAAAAAGTAGCAGAATTTTCGGTGAGATAGCATTTTTCCAGGTTCACTATCCAGGTTTGGATAGTGATGAATTTTCTTGACTGTCTAACCCAGTCAATGAAGTCACACTATATTGTCTTCAATTTTTGAGCAGTATATGGGGAAAAAAGCAGATTTAGAGCAGAACTATTAAGTGGGATGTGATAACAAAGTGACAATAACAATTCTGTGTATTGAAAAAATAGCATTTTGAAAGCTGTCAATGTTAACTGTACATAAATCTGCTCTTTCTTTTCAGGCCATCAAACGGTGCATTTGGTTCTTTTTTGGATCAGACATCAAATTCGTAAGTAACTATGTAAATTACTTTCCAGCTAACATGGCATAATATGATGTTATCACAGGAGTATCGCTTTGTATGCACAAGGTTGATGCAACCCTGTACCGCCTGAGTGCATACTTTAATCCTTTTTCTACCGACGCCATAAATTACCATGTGAAAAATTGACACCTATTTTCCCAGCATAGTTTTCACACTAACTAGCCAAAACTTTTTGTGTAATTTCAACCAATTTCAATTGTTAATCACCGCATTTTAAGTAATCAAATTGAAACTAAACTTGGTTTTCCATTTAGAATAGATCATTGTCTTCTCATTTCATGAAATTCAGACATATAAATTAATTAAATTGTACGATTAGAGGAGGGTTACAAAAATATTCTAATTAAGATAGACATGACAGCTGTGAATTTTGTTAATAAATCATGAAACCTGAGATAAAAGTGAACTTGCCCAGTAAGTCATGGTTTATCAAGTAACTATGCTACCGGTTTAATTTGAAATTTGGAGGGTGCAAACAAATGTTAACCCCCAAAGTATGGTTTTGTATGGCTAGGGGTGTTTCTAGTCTAAAATCAATTATATGGTATTTTATGCGTTCAGATTGTGCAGAACTTAGGGCATTTATATTATGGCATTATATGGCTACAGTAATAATTACAGATATGGTACTTTATGGTTTCAGAAGGAATAAGTATTCAGCCAGACAATATGGGTTTTTATGGCTTAGGGAAGGAAATCGTTGGCCCATAAAATACCAAGTTATGGTGAAATATGGTTTGGGGATTACATGTTTATTTTATCATAACCTCAGGATCACAAAATATGGTACTTTATGGTTTCAGAAGGAATATGTATTCTGCCAGACAATATGGGTTTTTATGGCTTGGGAAAGGAAATTGTTGGTCCATAAAATACCAAGTTATGTTAAAATATGGCTTCAGGTTTATCGAGACATTTGGGAGAATATAATTACCTAAATGAGACAATCAAATTCTGTTAAACTCTGAATTTATTTTGAAACTCAAAATGCTGTCAACAGAATTGGCATTTACATGTACTGCCTGTGTAGTAACCTTTTTATGGGATAAAACAGCTGTCATTATAAAATGTTAATGATCTTAATTTGTTTACAAGAAGTTGTAAGAATATTCCATAATGTTTGGGAGATGTAAAACCACAAGGGACAATGTGAAAAAATGGCTATGGTATTTTAAGGTATCAGACAAAAATGCCCTCTATTTTCACATGGTTTTTTATGGTGTCGGTAGGATAACACAAAATATATATTGGCTTAAAGAGGGTTAAGCAACTGTAGAACAGGAAATTATTTTCGCATGGTTCGCGAATGTGTGTTGGCTAGTAGAAGTGTAACACTTGTTGTTAATGTGTGAATTAGACAGACATTGAATAATAAATGTTCTTATTTTTTTAGATTCTTTTTTATATTTGTTGACAAACAGTTGAAATAATTCGTCTGCAAACAGAATGCAAATAATAAAATGCTTGAATTAGACGAAATTTGCTTTCACTCAAAAATTTCATTATGCGAAAATTTTTCGTCCTACAGTATTATTCTCATGATAACCTTTAATGAGTAATAGCCAAAAATGACAGCAAAAAAAAATATGTCAAAAATAGTGAATATAATGTTGTTGTACTGTCATTCCACAATATTTACATAATAATCAGAAATGTATCATAAATACACCTGATTCTGATACTGTTCTATTTTTAGCTCCGCTGTCGACTTTGTCGAGCGGAGCTTATCATATGAGTGATTGTCCGTCGTCGTCGTCCGTGTCAATGTTTTACTTTTTCGACTTCTTCTTGAAAACTACAAGCCTGAATGCTTTGATACTTGGTGTATATGTACCTTGGGTAGACCTCTCTTAGGTTTGTTCATTTCATGTTGATATCTTCAATTCTCTAATTTTGGTGAATATTTTTGTCATTTTTGGTAAAAAGTGATATTTTCGACTTCTTGTTAAAAACCGCAAGTGCAAATGCTTTGATAATACATATATAGGTACTACATGTGGACCTCT